GATAAAAGAAAGAGGTAAGAGTGATTACACTTTATAGATTTCCCCCCCAAGTTTTCTATATTGAGCATATATTATTTATAAGAAAAAATATTATTTTTGAACAATTCTTATGATGACTCTATAAAATCCCTATAGTTCTCTCTGTTACCCTGGTTTTATGTATGGCATTGGTTATAGCACAGGTATTGCTTGTCCAGGCTTCTGCATCTTCTAATTCAAAGCAACTTAAACCCATTTTATTCTTCTATATAAATAACAAAAATTTAATATTATTAATAAAGTTCAACTTTCTCTTTACATGACTATATTATTTAGGAGTTTGGATTTACCGATTCCAATAAAAACACATGTAACATTTAGTTGAATCCACTTACCACAATATAATGATCAGTAAGGAGAATAAATGATGCCAGGGGATCAAAAGTGAGATGAAGATCTTCTTCAAGAGAAAATATGTGGTGAACAGTCTTTTTCCTCCCAGCAGAATCCTAGTTATAAGCACAGCAAAGAAACTCTCAAGATTTAAATATTTATAATGCTCCAAGAGTAAGTTTCCAAAAACTTTTCTCAGTTACCTCTGAATAGCTGTCTTTTTTTATTACCTTTTTTTATTGTGGTAAAATATACATAACATAAAATTTACCTTTGTAATCATTTTTAAGTGTACAATTTAGTGGCATTAAGTACATTCACATTGCTGTATAACCATCACCACTATCTATTTCCAGAACTTTTTCATCATCCCAAACAGAAACTCATTAACTGGTAACTCTCCATTCCCAGCTTCCCCAAGTTTCTGGTAACCTCTATTCTACTTTCTGTTTCTATGAACTTACCTATTCTAGTTAGTATCCATTTTCAGAATATACTAGCTACAGTATATTGAATTTTTTAAAATTATACTTAGTTTCATCTTTACCAATTGACTGAAAAACCCCTAAATCAGAGTTTAATGTGGATATAGCCTAATGAATTAGAGAGCAAATTGAAAATTATTAATTACCTGCACAATTACTTCTATTTGGTGTGTCCCATCACTGTAGTTTCTGGGATTCCACTTTAGTATGAAAATAGGACCAGACAAATGAATAGCCTCCCCTAAATGAACTCCATCAATCTCAACTGTGACAGAAGTAATGGAGGATGAAGAGAAGGTCAAGACTCTAAAATCAGAGCATATATAAATGCATGGTTTTAAGTGATTGCTTTTATGAAGGAGAATAGCCCTAATGTACCTAGAAAAGATGTTAGAGGCAGAACCATCACACCAAACAACATGTAGGGACTACTATTATCATGATTCTGGTTTCTATCTGAGTGATGGCTTTTGGAGTTGTACAATGCAGCAGACCTGAATTAGTGAGAAATTAGGAAATTGGTGAGACATTACATTTTAGAAGGGAAAATTCATTTCTCTTGATAAATCCAGCTGAAGTAGATCTAAAGTCATTCTGAAGAAATTCCTGAAGTCTTGGTTTTTATCACAATACAATCCTGTAAATATAATATTAATCCTACTATCTATTAAGTTGGTTCCAAACATATCTGCCTGAAAGAGGCAATGTCCTATAAAGGGCTAGGCTTCCCTTCAGAGAGAATAACCCCTAAATCTGATATCAAGCTTACATCAGAAACCTGACTAAGATGTGTCTACTTTATTAGTAACCAAAATTATAAAAATGTAAGAGGTTAGCATCATTTTTTTTCACATTATCTAGTGAAAAATTTTAATTAATTCATGAAAAATATTCTTTTAAAAACCTTTTTAAAAGTATAATATCCAATAATGATAAGCATGCTGTGAAACTGGCATTCTTACTACTTGGTAACATAAATTAGTAAATCTGTTACAAACAGTAGTTGGGTAATCTTTATTAACAGTCATAAATGAATTCAAACTCTTTCACTTAGAAACCTACATCTAGAACTCCAGCCTAAAGAAATATTCAAATGAAGGAAGAATTATATGTAGATGATCATTTCCAAATTAAAAAAAAAAAAAAGTTTCACCAAGAATATAGGACAATGGGAGATTAATTGTGATACATTCTCTCAATGGAAATGTAAGCAGTTATTAAAATAATTATTATAAATAATTTATAATTATTATAAAGACAATCTAGCAACAATATAACGTTGAAAGGAAAAAAAGTAGGAATTAGAATAGACTGTGCCCTATGATTACAACTATATGAAACATGCCTGAAAGAGAAGGAAAATTCAGAAATGTTAATAATAGTTCTGTTAGAGGGAGGAATATAATCCTATATTCTCTGTCTATAACCTAATCACTCTATTCTCCAACAGTTGTTATATTGAATTATTTTTCAAAATAAAAGAATTTTTCAAAAAGAGTGCCATTATACTTGTAAGAGGTTGTGCACCTCTTTCCAAAAGAATTTTAGTATCTCATTAAGACTCTATAAATCTATAGAACAAAATTAAAGAAACATTAAAAAAAAAGACTAGGATTAGTAGTCAGGTAGCGACTGGTGAAACCCCTAAGACTGGTCCCTATTCACCCATGGGGCCTGGAATTGGGCTCGCTTCCATAATTAATTTTCAGCCAAACAATAGATAGGCCTATAAGCTGAACAACTAAGTATACCAGGAAGATGCACTCCTTAGAATAATCAGCAGGGGAGATCAGGAGGGCAGCATTTGCATTGGAAGAAAAATAGGGAAGCAGGAATGCATGGGCAGGAAGGACACAGGGAAAGGGTGACCACAAGGAAGAAGTGGAAGGAGACCTTTTACATTGTGGGGATTGTAATCAGTGTCACAGAACAAAATTGAACGTAAAACAAATCTACTTTATAAAATTTCACCCAAATCAAAAAAAATTTAAAAAAAAAACCAGATTCTATTAATCTATATTATCATATTCATATGCCAATTTAATTTTCAATTCCCCAAGATTTATATAGCTTTTGCTTTATTGGAAGGCTTTGTAGCAAGATGAATAAAATATTTCAGATATATGATGCATGCAGAATATGATGCATGTATAAAGGAATATGTGCATTATGATTATAGCAATATACAACATGCATATAAAAAGGGTGGATAAAATACATCAAAATAGTAATGGTAGGATTTGGGCTTCCAGGTGATTTTTAAAGTGTCATCAATTTAAAAATACACATATTATATTTTAATTAAATGGAAACAAAACAGTAAGCAATTTATATAATGTTTAAGTTGTCAAGAAAAGATATGGGGCATCTTGTTGGAACACAAATACAGTAAGTTCTTCTCCATCAATATCAGACTAAAAGTATATTTGACATACCTGATGTGCGTTGAGTGAAGGAGTCTTTCTAGGGGTTCATGTTTAGCGTAACTATAGAGGAGTGACTTAGGGTTGGTTATAAGAACCACAGGCCACTTGCCGAAAGTCAAATCTGCAAAGCTAAAAAGGTCATGGTCAAAAGCAAAGATCCGGTACCTAAAGAACAGAAGACAGTAAGATAACTTAGTAACTTCATATTATAAGAGAGCATGAAGTAATACATGAAACATACAAAAATACAAAACTAGTGCTTTTTTTTCGTATGAATCTGAATGCTGAGCAAACAATACTGTTTTCCTATTTTTCCTTACCCCACTTTATCCTTCATGCTTGTCACATCTACTGGGATCTAACTGAGGCAATGAATTTAATAGTGCCCTAGTTGACAGCAGTGAGTTTGGTTTTTTGGTTTTGGAACAGTGCCTAGGAGCTATGGTGGCATAGTGCCCAAGGCATTTGATTGCTAACCAAAAGGCTGGCGATTCAAACCCACCAGCCACTCCTTGCAAGGAAGATTGGGGAATCTACTTCTGCAGAGGTACCACCTTAGAAACTCAAGGAGGGGTCGCTATGAGTTGGAACTGACTTGATGGCAGTGAATTTGGAGTTTTTGGTTAGAATAATACCTGGTATAGAGAATACACTCTTTACTTTTCAAATAAATACTTGTTAAATTAGTTCATTTATTTCAATACTTTAAGACTATTTGGATCCTAAGACATTCATCATAATCCTAATACCTGCATTCTTCATCCCATCAACAGTACTAATATGATTGCTATGAACACAATTAAAAACCTTTAAAGGTTTTTAATTAAAAACCTTTCATACTTCCCTTAAACCTTTATTTCTATAACTTCACAGAAATTAACAAAAGTTAAGTTGTTTTGATTTTCCAAATGCATGATTAAAGGTATAAAATATTCATTAAAGAGTAAACAAAGTTTTATATTTTCTGACTTTCAGAATTGAGGGAAAAAAATGAACAACTATGGCAGAAACAATAGTGCTCACCAAATAGTCCATGCACTCTCTTGGATTTCCCAGTCTCCCTGGTATTAGGTTGGGATCATGTAACTAGTTCTGGGCAATAGGCTGTGAACAGAAGTGACATGTATCACACTTCTGGGCTAAAGTACTTAAGAGTGGGTTGAGTTCTCCATGTTCTCTTCCCTGCTCTGGAATCAAGGTATTCAGATAGTGCCATTATACGATAGAAGAAGCTTGGATCCCTCAGTCACCTCATGGAAGAAAGCTGCCCTGACTCACCTGATTTTACATGAATGAAAAATAAACTTGTTGTGTTAAGCCACTGACATTTTCGGATTTATCTGCATCCACAACAAAGCCTAACCAGTATTACTAACTTACTATTTTTTGTCTGTTTTTTAAACTGTGTTTATTTTCACAGTGCTGAGGAGTCACTGAGATTCTGTTAAGAGGATGGAAAAATTGGTAATGGTTGATAGTGATGGGTGAACAACATGATGAACATAATCGATGTCACTGAATTGTACATGTAAAGATTGGAGAAATGGCAAATGTTTTGTTACCTATGTATTTACCTCAATTAAAAAAACTGTCTTATTTTAACTAATACAATTTAAATATTTATAAGGTCAAGTAAAGGTGAGGACCTTTCAGTAAAACTCCAGATAAAATCCCTGGGTAGGAAAAGAAAAAAGGGAAATGGTTTTATGGTTAGTATCACTTAATTTATAAACACAGCATTTGTAAGAAATCAAGAAGTTGATCAAGGGTTAAGAAGGCTATGTGGCAAAAGCCCATCACAGCCCTGCCCACAGCCTCACAGTCATAAGTAGACAGGTCCTACGTCAAAGTAATTATAGCTGCCAAGAAATGATAAGCTTCAAGGATGCTATTATGCAATTTCTAGAAAAGCTAACAGAAATGAGGACATATTTTCTAAGATGTAAAGCTGCTTTTTAGCTAACGGAAGTAGTTTAAAATCGAAAGACATGCAGCTCAAGAAATATTTATTGACACTATTTACAATAGCCAAAACTTGGAAACAACCTAGATGTCCAACAACTGAGGAATGGATAACCAAACTTTGGTACATTCACACAATGGAATACTATGC